CCACGCCTTCGCCGCTATATTCTTGCACATTAAAATTTGAACACTCTGTAGAGCGGTAACGAAGCGTTTGCGGACCTATGTTGATTGGAAATTTTAGTCATAAAATAAACCAAAGAATCATTCCCTTCCGTTTGCACATGATGTTTAGGAACACCCTATATATTTTCAGCTTTAAATAGTTTTAAAAAAAAAAAATGAATAATTTGAATTCCTTTTCAGTGGGTACTTGAAGTACTTCTTAATATTTCAAATACACATAGGTATTTCAAATATTTAAATAAGTACTTGAAATACTTACAGAGTATTTGAATTATTTTACTTGAAAAAATCAAGTACTAAATTAAAGTACTTGAAACTTGAAGTACTTTTTGAATTGAAAGTATTTAGTATTTGTACTTGCAACATGAATTTCCCGTTATTGATACTTGGTATTTGAAATACTATTTACCAGTATTTGTGACAGCTCTGGTTGCAAGTTAGTTTTGAGTCTATGATTAGCCCAAGATATTTAACCTCGTCCGACATCGTAACTGGGTTTCCCTGAAGGTAGAGAGGTCCAAGACCCTCCATTTTCCTTCTTATGGTAAAAGGGACGATTGTCGATTTGGTGGCACTCATTTTCAACCCTAGAGTCTCTGTCCACCTAGAGACTAATGTTAAAGCTTGCTGCATCCGATCTTTACTGTATGGTTGAGTTTTCCCTGGGGTATTATGACCAAATCATCTGTATCAGCTCGTCCATCACTAGATTCCGCAGCAGGGGTGATAACACTCCGCCCTGCGGACATGACTTTGCAACCCTAACCGTTACTGTTTTACCGAGAAATGTGGAGTGGATGACTCTACCTCGAAGCATGCAGTCTATCTACTTGCACTGATAAAAAGGATATTTTAATTGAAAGTAAATAAAAATCGAAACAAAGGTCGCCATGTCCTTGTATATGTCCAAAGCAATATTGTCTTGAACAGAGTCAGTGATAATCTTGCCTTTCCATTAAACATATTTAAGAGAATGCTCTTGAGAAAGCTTTGATTCAAAATCAGGTCTGAGTTTGGATCAAAAATCAATATTCCTGATTCAAGGAATGCAGATTTTCGGTGAAAGCCTTTTTTTTGCTCAAAATAATGGATTCCTTGGTTTAAGAACCTGTTCGTTTGGAGTTGGTTATAACCTATTCAAAGGGATAGGTTATAACTGATTTCTAGGACAACTTTTACATAAAAAGTGAGTTTTCTTTGAATTAAAAAACAAAGTTGTCTGAAAAAAACATAATATATTTAATGATATAACTATATTTAAACAAAACCAGAAAATGGTATAAAAATACCTACATATGTGACTATACAGCTAACTTGATAGTTGTGACTATGCTATATAATTATCAGAAATAAAAGAAACTTGAATTTTCAGAACAATTCATGGGTTAATTCACCCATGCATGAAAAAATAACAGTCTTTAATCTTACCTATGTACTATGGAAGGGCCAAATTATAGGTAATATATGGACCAACTGGTAAAGGTCCTGGTTGTTATATTACCAAGCAGGTAAATTCTATAGCTTTGTTCCAAGTGAAATGAGAACCATTCTAGATCGCTAATTTCCAATCGATTAATTCATTTGTCAAGTAGGATAAACGTTCAACTTATTGAAAAATAGGTGGGCAACTGGAAATTACTGGTTCTGGAACGGTTCTCATGTCAGTTGGAACAAAGCTTTCATCTAGAGAATAGAATTCACCTGCTTGGTAATAAGCAGGACCTTTACTATTTGGCACATAATTTGGCCCTAAATAAAACAGATTGAAGATAATATTATATCATTATCTCATATTATAACCGAGGGCTGAAAAACGGATTTTCAGTTTTCCGACTTTATTCGCACAAACCACAACCCGGACCCGATAAGTGACAATGAAGCAGAAAACCCAACACGTGGAGAAATGAAAGATGCACTAATGTAGAGGGTACCGGTGTATGGTCAAAGTGGCGCAGCTAGGAGCAGCAACGGGCGCAGAATTATTGATTATCTCTCAAAAGAAAAAGACGGGAATCTTTGAATGAAAGTATTAATCTTGGTTCAAGATCACTAGTTTAATGTGTAATACATTTAGGCAAATAATCCTCTGTACAAGACGTTTGACTACCAAGAGAATATGCGTGATTAATCAAATACTTGAAATATCTAACTTCAAGCCTACATTATTTTACGAAGAGAAAATTTCCTTCATTTAAAGAAATTTGGATTCAAGATAATATGTATATATTGCTTCTCTCTAAGAGTTCATTTTGTGCTTGCATGGTTATACTTGACTCTAATGAAGGAGTCTCAAGGTCACATGAACGGTTGCAATAAAGACGGGAATTTTCTTCAATCGTAGCACTGAAACTGTATCTATCTCTAAAACCAGAAGTTGATTTGTAGTCCAGTGCACTGAGTTGAACAAGGAGAAGCAGGAATGAGTGTCACAATAGTGTTTCATGAGAATGGGAAAATTCGTGAAACATCAAAGTAATCGTGGTATCACAGCAACAAAAGACACAAAACAAATAGGTAGAAACATCATGATTGAACATGCTCAGCCTCAACTATTGAATTGAGGAATGATAACTTCACACCGCATATTACTAAGTATTTTCTTCCAGTAGTATAGTATACTGTAATAATTGATATACCAACCCATCGAGAACTCAAAATGTCTTTGTTCAAAGCCCATGTTACAAAAAAGAAAACAATAACTATCCAGAGCAGATTCGAATTTAAAAATTCGCACGAAAGCTTGGCAAGTATCATCGTAGGCCAATGACTACCCTTTCTGAATTCGGAGTTTTCTTTCAAACAACACGAGATCCTTTTCCCGAGAAAGCTCAGCCAAGCGGGGCAGCACGAACCCTTGTTTTTTTAGCCGACGATGTATAAAGACATTACGGGGGCTTTTAGAATGAAGATTATGGTCGTTCAGGGCCCTAATATTCCGGTTTGCGTCATCTATGCACCTATACTTTTCTTGTTTCATTGAAAGTAGATTATTATGCCAAAAATTACTTCTAGCGAATATTATTCAACTATCTTCTCGTGATGTATCAATACTTTTTACTGAAATAATATTCTCAAAAACCATATAGGCAAAAGCCATTGGCCATCTCTATTGAAATGTCTGAGTAGTCTCAAATTATTTCCCCAAGCCCTAATAAATATTCTTGAGAAAATTATAGGGCTTTACTGCTCTTCGACTTAGCTTAGAATAGCGCACCATGATACATCAATTGAAGGAAAATTTTTAATTAAAATCCTTGACTCTGATTTACGCGCGTTTTATTTCCAGTGCCGGATTTTTAATTAGATTTGTTGGTTTTCGGTCCCCCTTTTCCAGAGGGTTTCATTTCGTTGATCGCGGAATGGCCGCAGTGGGGACTCTAATGAAATAACAAATTATTTTTAGTTTTTGGATTTTTGTCAACTCATAGATAAAGGCTATATTTACCCCTAATTAAGCTATCTTTCTTAAATTCACAAGTACAGCATAAGTGGTGTCATGAAACAGATGTTTTTTACGTAAAAAGTGCCTGTTTTTTAAGTGGTTCCTCGTTAAGAGCAAAATAAATGGATCTATTTCTGGCACATGTTTTTACCAAAAATAGTCATCCACAAAATTCAAAATTTATACAATTAAGTTAACGCTGGCTCCATCGAGATCCATTTGCTAATAGGAAACAATATTTCAGGTCGGTTTTGGGGAGATTAGAGAATCGCGCAATGCGTCCTAAGCCCATTTGGACCGTTTCGCTGACCATTAACACCTGAGTTACGACACGGTGTCGACAGGGGCTCATCGTTTATCTACATGGATTAACAGAGGGGAGCTGTAGTAATGGCTTTATGGACCGTAGAAGCTTTAACGATATTATACAGGTAGGTCACAATAATATATAGAATTTCTATAATTCTAACTAATTCCAACCAAAAGCAACAGGTTATATAATAAAAATCTCTTGTAATTACCTAAAAACATCATCAAATACTCGTTGAGCTTTTATGATCAACTCCTAAAATAATCATTATGCTAAACTCAGTAGCTCACTAGCAAAATTTGTATATGGCTCAATAACAACTTCATATCGTAATTTTTACGCCCAGACATTTGAACAACCAAAAAACCAATTTCCTATACACCTGGAATTTCATAAATACACACATACAAACTAGCTTTTGGGGCTGATTTAAAGAGTTGCCCCTGAGCGGACGCTTATGACGACGTCGTAGCGTCGGAGAGAACGAGCGTCGAAACGACGGAATGGGCTCTTGCGAGGACCGGAATAGGCCACTTCGAAAGAGAAGATGGCCCATTCCGAAGAACATTGCCCATTGAATATTTAGTCTGCTTATTGAAAACATGATCTTATTCATATAGACTTTGCTACAGTTTTTTTGCAATTGAAAAATGTGAGGGTTCAGGAATTTACTAGGATTTAGGATGTTGAAATGTTCCTATGATCAACTGGATAAAATTTGAAAGTGAATAAATCTTATTTTACTGTCTTTTCATGACTTGGAAAATATAAAATTAATGTTATAAATATGAAGTGCACAGTAGCATGATTGCATCCAGAAATTGGACTAACCTACTTTACAACTGAAAGAGCTAAGATTTATAATATTGGTATTGCTTATTCCTCCATGATCAATTATTATTGAAGCTAAAATACAATATTTAGAAGAATCCATTGATAAAGTTGGGCCAGAAAGCCAGAAAGTTTAAACTTTCACTCAAGGAATTTGGGAGAGTAAGGGATGTTCCAAGCATGTTTGTAGAAATCCGGAAAAGTATACCTACCTACCTACGAGAATATCAGATGGTATTATTTTTCTAATTCATAATATTACGAAACAGCGTTCATGAATGGGTATCCGTTTGGAAATCTGGAAATCTATTGGAATTGTTTACATATTTATAGTGGAACCGCCAACACAAATCTGATTAAATTCTCCAAAACTCCTCCTTAAACATTTTCCAACGTGAATTTTCGAAGACTTTCTTGTTCAGCAACTTGTTCTTTTGTATTCAGATAAACTAAGCATACAGTCTTCCCAAAATGCTGATTTATGAACTTGCGACGAATCTCAATGTGTTTTTTTCCTTTTGTGACTTTCCTTTCTTCTGCATTGTCCATCATATGAATTGCTGCTTCATTATCAACAAGCAAATCAGTCAGCTCAGTAATCTCTTGCATTCCAAGCTCTGTTATTATTCGACGAATCCAACAGATTTCTTGAATTCCACTTAGAGCTGCAGGATACTCAGCCTCTGCAGATGATGTTGAAATTACTTACTATTTTTGAGCAATCCAAACGATCGGATGACATGCCAAGATGTTCCATTCCTCTTAGATATCGAAAAACTCGTTCGATCATTTTCCAATCACTAACACTGGGTTTTCTCGCGAGGCAAATGGTTCAAACTACGGTTTAAACCAATTTGTAGATAGATAAAGACATCACTCATGAACGTGAGAAAATGGAAGGTTTGAACCAAGGACGATACACACCTACAGCATTGCTTATTGGCCTCGTTTTTGGTAATTGCCGCCATATTGGTGTGTTACCATTTCCGACGTCATAACTAATAGCGAATTCCATTGGAAAGGTTAGTGCGCACTGAGTGTATTCGTGCCTTTTGTTACCAGTTTGCACAAGAAAGAGATAAAAATAAAAAAAAAGCACTTATTTTACCAATGCAATTCGCTATAAGTCGTCAACTGTTTAAAGAGCCTATATGTCAAGACGAGAAATAACATTCTGACTACGTCACAACTGGTGATTCTGCGTAGAGGGGTGGAAGGGGGGATTTGTTCCACACAGGCCTTATGAGAATAGGCTATCCTATAGTAGTAGTTTGTATCATCCTTAGGTTTGAACCACAGTCCTATATCAACAAAGAAGAAGCCATGAGTCCGGTTCCAATGTGACGTCACTGGTTCAACGCAAGAATGTTCAGATTCGAACCTAATTGAACCGGATCGAACCAGTTCCACCGCGAGAAAACAGTTCAAGTTTACGGACTCTTCACCTTAAATAATTCACAGCGAAACTAATATCTGGTCTCGAAATCGTTGATAAGTATAGCAAACAACCTATAGCCTCTCTATACGGATTGCCTTTCAAGATTTTGTCATTTATTTTCTTTTCTGTCTGCATTGTAGGTTCCATTGGTGTCGAAACTGGATGTGCATCTTCAAATCCAAAACGTGCGAATATTGTTGCTCTGTGACTGATATCCCTTTCTGTATCAATTCAATTTCCATTCCAAGATTTCCAGACGCTGATGATCCTGTAACATCATGTAACATTCACAACCAAAAATTTTAATTGCTTTCAGGCTAATATGATGACCAAACCCATGGTTGTTTGAATGAGGTAGGTTGTCTGATAACTTTCATGACGTCATCTGGAAGACCTTAACATAATGCAAATTTCCATTAGATCCTCCTGATGACATCATCTGATTACCATTACCAGGCAACTTATTAACTTCAGGAACCTTGGACCAAGCCACAATTCTGCTATTGCCAGTTTGATTAATTGAAAATACTGAATAATTTAATGATTCTGCCCAAAAATCTTGTCCAAAATCATGAATGTAAATTTCAGCTCATGTGGCTTCAATCATGGTCAGCATTTCTCTTTCAATTCTGTCATTTTGTTGTGGTACCATTATCTGATATTAATACGTCCACTTTACTACCAAATTGATTCTCCACCAGGTTTAAGTAGATATTTAATTTTTCTACTGTAATCATCTTTAAAAATCAGAAAATACTTTGCACCACTGAAAGAACGAACTTTTATTTCTCCAAGATTAACATGTACTCTGTCCAAAGATGCTTTTGCTATGACGTTATTCGTTGGATGAGAAATTCTGTGCTGTTTCTCATACACACAACCTTTACAGACATAATAATTTCAGTCATCAATATATTTTATATCATTGTTCTACAATACATCTTTTACATGACGAATATTTTGTGCTAACCGTTCAGACCAAATTTCTAAGCTTACTGCTGGCAAACTATACTCTTCTATTACATAAAACATCATGTGAAATAAACCATTTGTCCTCTTGGCTATTTATACTGGTTTTCCTTGTTCCATGATTATACTTTTCTGTTGTTGCTGATTGTGTAATAATATGTCCAAGACTGTTGTGACTGAAAATAGATTGAGTGAGAGCTCCGGAACAAATAACACACAATTCTGCACAATTATTTCCGGTTTAAGCATGCAAATAAACATCTCCAAAAGCTATACCTTCTAATTTTGTAGAATCTCCAATCGCAACTGTATGAATGTATATTTGATAACCATTCTAAATTTCCAGTCAAATGATGTGTTGCACCACTATCCATGATCCATAATTCATAGTGAATTGATAATCCTTCCAATAGTGATGATGATAATGCAACTGAGATAAACGATTTCACTTTGTTACCTTCATAACTTGACTTTTTCAGACAATCATTCGAAAAATGCCCTTTTTCGTGACAAGTGTTACATTCATATTTATTTTTACTATAATCCAAATACACCTGAAACGGTTTGTTATGACAATCACTTTTAAAATATCCAAACCAACCACATTTGTAACATTTTACCTTTGATTGACTCGATAAATTTCTATTCTGGTTGAAACCTTGCTGATTTTTCTTGATAAAGTTTCTCTTTTCCTTGTTGTTTTTGTTCGACTTATCAATTTTTCCAACAAGTGCATTGCTTACTGTCTCGGACTCTAGCGTCCTTGTAGTCTTCTTTTTGCAAGCGATTTCAATGTATGAGTGTTTTGTCGCTTTCAGCCACTGACTGCAGGCTGCATGAAAATGATCAAATTTTGCAGGCAAAGAATTCAAAATTCGAGACATCCTTAATATCTTCTCTATAAATTTCCAATTCTTGCACCAGCCCATCCATTTCCAGACAGTTTTCAACAGCTGTTTTGGTTTCGTCATATTTGTATGCAAAAAAATGTTGTTGCAACATGTCAACAGATTTTTGACTTTCCTTTCCATATAATGATGTGGAACAAGTCGTAATTTTTAGAGCAATATTCTCCTCTACATTTAATCCAATAATGGTCTGAGCTTCTATGTCCTTCTTTATCTAACCTGCATTATCTTTGTTTGTTATTAATGGTTAAGGTATTGCTGTAGTTTGAATCTCCATGCGATATAGTTAGACTTTCCATTTTCTTCTGCCGACTCAACTAACTTTCAATTTTACATCCACTTTTCTGTATACCACGTCGTGTACTCTCAATTTTTGAAGTTATATCTTAGCAAGACCAAGTCCTGGGCCCATAACCTATTAGAATTATTTATTTATAGTGAAACCGCCAACAATTCAGAAAATACTTTGCTACTAATTTGTTTATTTTATATTGCTATTACGTTGAAACTGATCAAATTTTCCAAAAAAAAGTAGTAGTGGAGAATTATTGAAGAAATCCGAGAAAAATGGAAAAGATTCAAAGAAATTGAAACAATAGGTACCTATACAAGAAATATGAATAAAATAATAGAGGATGCGGGAGCAGTTTCTATGGAAAATTTGAAAGGTTCTTTTTCCCCATCAGCCAAAACTGATTGGAATTGAGGAAGCTAATGGCGGAACCTTCATAAGAATTATCTTTATACATTTGATGTTGACGCATGGTTGAGGTCAGCTGGTAACCTCAAAACTTGTCCAGACCTCAGATGAACATGTGGATACTTTTGCATGAATCATATTGAAGTGAATCTCAACAAAGCCTGTATGCTGTAAGCAGACTCTTCAAGAAAAGATCTAAAAGAGAAAGGACTTCCAATGTCGCCAGAAATGATATGGACTATACTTTTCATGTACGCTTGAAGATGTTTCAGTTATTAACAAATTCACGACAGGTAGAGATCTGCGAAAAGCAAGATATTCGATCCTGTCTGAATCTTAGATAATGTTATGATAAAACTCAATATTACCTTGACCTATGACCACGAAACTTAGGAGTTTTGGACTCGATTTCAAAAAAATATTATTTGTTATTGTTTTAGACTGCGAAACTTCAAACCCCATTTCGAAAATTGCGCATTTTCTTATAATAATCTACCATCTTTCAAACTTGGGAAAAGTCTCTCTTCGCCCCCAGCGGACTATGGCAAAAGTTCCTTCAAAGCCGGGGAGCAAACTAAACTAAAATGAAAATGTCTGTACGCATCCCCTGGGAGCCGTTTCCAGGGGAGTGACAATGCGTCTTGGAAATGGCTTTCCGTCTGTGTGAGTCCATGAATACATTTTCTTTGTTCGGCGGGATATCGTTCTTCTTGTGCTGCGCGTCTCCCTTCTGGTGCCTGCTTTACATGCATTGAATTTTCAAACAGAATAATTATTTTTTTAAATCCCATCTTTGCTTTCTTTATACCTAAATCTTTCCCACATAATCCAACTAACTTGAGATTGCATCATCAAAGTCATTCGTGAATGTATAATTAAAAGTTGGTTTACATTGCGTTTCCAATAGAAACCCATCGGGGACTGGAAACCACGCCTAATAAAGCTTATTTATAGTTCCCAGATAAAAATCTTAAAGAAAGTTGTTTAGGTATATTGGAAGCCATGTTGTTGCTGACCTGTTTAATTCAACTACTTTAGGTAGCCGCCTCAGTTCTCTTCATTATCGGTTTCTAATTAAAGGATTTCTTGTGAATCAATTATTATTCAGGAATAATTTATAGGTAAACATTTAGGGTAACCTATGATTTAGGGAACAGTTTTTTGAAATATATCATTCAACAAAAGAATATTCCAACATAAAATAAATCGTTTTCCATTCTCAGGTCCTGACACACCTCTTGAAATTTACTACCACCAATGAATACCCTCTCGAAAATTAAGCCATTTTAAATATTATAATTTGACCGGTGGACCAATTTTTTTTTTTCTTGCTTTCACACAATCTACATTTCTCCCCGGGTTACAAAATATACCTGCCCTACCTTTTGTTGCACCAGAGAGAAATGGATTCCTTTCTTTGATTCTTTCTTTAAAAAAAAAAGAAATGCCGCATGTGAATGTTACATCGCATCAATCAACCCCATAGGACCCCTCCCTTAACAACTCAATGTTCTTTCTCCCGACGATATACCGCAGCCATTACGCATTAATCTTATGGATTCCTTTGTTCGGGAAGCGTTTTAAAGCTCACGTGAACTGGAACGTTATAATGTATATCCTCAAGACTTGGGTAAGGTAATTGCTTTTTAAAATAATCTTTAGCGAATTTTATTTGGGAGAGTCGAATTTGCCGTTGTTGGTGTCAATAAATTTTTGTAATGGGTCATTAGGGGTTTTGCTTCCATGGAATTGGTCGAGGATTAAATTTCATACCTGTCTGATTTTATGGAGAAATGCAGAAGAAAAATTGGTAGTTTTTATACTATGAGAACGTCATCACTAATTTGCATGGAATCTTCATTGCTTCATCTGCATAAGACTTTTATATGTTTTAGGTATAGAAAATGAGATTTTAATGTGTTTCGGCAGCAAGCTATATACGTTTACTTTACAGTATTTTCCGTGCCAAATGCTCTTCAAGGGTATTTTCCCAGAAATTGACATCGTCTTTCGTATAGAGTGTGAACTAACGAACTGCAACAAAGAAATACATTTTCTAACCCAAACCAACATGGGAAGAATTAAGGTATAGAACAAAATATCCATCAGATTCAATAGATTTTCTGCCATACTCTTGTTTTTTCAATCAAATTTCGTACATTTTCCTATGTCAACTCTAAACTTAACTCACTTCAGTATTGTTGACAAAGCAACTCTAGTCCCATTTGAGTTTGACCAGGAGGTTGCAGATTATTTTGCACAGCCAGTTTCAAAGTATTTTTGCTAAACTTAGATCAACATTTCCAGTTGAATCCTACTCCAGAACAGAAATCAACACCATAAATTTTACCCCAAAAAAGTTAGAGATCCCCATAAGTCCCTCCAGCCCTGGACTTGATGTTGATATTTCTTAAAAATTGTTTGCACATACTAATGGGGTCTCTGGCAGCTCCTATGATAGACACACTATCCACAAGAGATTTTCCACATTCTTGGAAAGGAGCAGTTGTTATACCTGTTATAACAAAAGATTAATAGAAAACTACAGATCAGTGAGTCTGACCAGCCTCCCATGTGAATGTATGGAAAAAATCATTGTTAAGGAACTCACAAGCTTTGTCTTCGAAGCTCATGTTTCACCACCCCAAAAAATCTACGTACAGAATCTCCCAATCAGACGCAATATGTAGACAAAGGCGGATGATGAGAAGGATCCAATTGATATAGTTTTCCTTGACTTTGAAAAAGCATTTGATACCATATAATCAATATACTTATTATGCAAGCTATATCTCATTTTGGAGTCGAGAGCGATTTACCGCAACTTCTTACTGGACGCATCTTTCAGGTTAGGACAGGAATATCACTCTCAGTTAAATAATTTGTATACACAGAGGCGTACCCCAAGGCTCAGTCTTGGGATCCTTGTTTTTCTTGGCGTATTTGTGTGACTCTGAAGACCAAATATGAATCGTTTGCAGATGACACAAGCTTATCCACTACTACAGTTTGCAGGCCCCTAGAAAGACCTGTACACCATCAAAGAGTGGACAATATCTTGGAAAATGCCTTGGAATGACCCCAAGTGCACAGTGTACAGTTCTACAAACCGGCCTGAATAACCCTGAACATGATTACCTCCTCTAACGAACGTCGATTAAAAAAGTTTTGTGCCACAAAGACCTAGGAATAAGATTCAGGGAACCACCCAGTATGTCCTCCAATTTCTCTTGCCAACCAACAAGTTTTTCCTGTTTGCTGTTCAGGTACTTACAAAACCAATAATTTGCATCCTAACAAAAAAACATACCTATACACTTACAAGTAAAATGAAAACATTCCCAGCTCCGTTGCTCATCAGACAAATATTTCTCAGCCCAGCTTTGAAAATCTCTTTTGAGGGTGTTAATTTCAAGTTCTTTGTTTATTTTTTTGTTAATTGAAACCATTTCAAGGAAATTTTGCTCCGAAAGTAGATCTGAAATCATGTGAACTGTCCAATCTTGTCTGTGTTACGGTTGAGCTGGATAAACACTTTTGTAGATATGTTATATACAAAAATAAGGCGCGAATAAGGTATTGTGAACTCAAGCCAACTTATATTAAACAAAAAACACAAAACATACATTGAAAAAGGTTTCTAGACTGGATGATTATCATAATTTTAAATTAAAAATAAAACAGCTGCAAAGAAACAACAAAAAAATTAAAAATTAATATCTTAATTCCAATAAATCAAGTTACCTTACCTTGTAAAACTTTTTACCTGGTAAGGCCCCATAACGCATGATATAAGAGGGACACCAAACAGAAAAAAAAAACTGTCCGAATGGTCCCACATGCCTCTACCACATGCCGGGCCGAACAACTTTAAAGGCTCAATTTAAATTACTGATACGTTCACGATAATGATGGAACCCAATGGGGCCCAAGTGGCTATTTCTTCATTTTGAATGTCTTGTTAATGAGGCAGTTGCTCAATTTGGAATGGCCGCGGCCGTATCGAATAACAGAAAAATATGGTAATGAGATTATTTTTCTGGTGGCAAGTATAGGTAAACACAAAGAGAGAATAAAACCTATAAGGCCGATGCTCCTGGCGACGCCTAAAAGGCCCTTTTCTTAGAATTTATTTTGCAATTTAAGGACAATTTACAAGCAGCCAATTGCCTATATCTGTCAGCGTTCCTTGCTATTCTGTAGGAGTTATTGTGTTCCTTCTCGGAGTGTCCATCAGGACTTTTCCATTCCTCATTAAGGCTTTTGCAGGATCGTTTGTGGTTTTTGTTGAAAAAATAAGGAAGGAAATAAAAGCTCAGATGCTGTATTTTTGTCAGTCAGCAAAAAGTATTAAGTTCAATTA